GACACACAGAGCGAGAAAGAGACACAAAGAGATAGACGGACAGGTAGACAAACAGACAGACAGACAGACAGAGGAAGGGGTGAGAGATAGACAGGCTCCGATCACTAACCTGGCGTCTCTCCAAATGTCGAAGCAGCAACGACAAACGCTGTTAGGTCGACCATTGTTGTTGACGTCAAAAGGAATCGAAAACTTCCCTTTACGTCAGGCTGTTTCGATGTTTAGTGTCTTGCTCGTGAAGAAATTGAGGGACGGAGAAGACGAAGAAGACCACCTACTTCTCCCAAAGAAGAGCGACAATGAGCAAAACGCGCGGGACAAACTAACGCTTAACACAATCACCAATGACGGCGCGCTCTGCAGATCGCCTACTTCTCGCACATCGCCTTTCTATGCAGCTATACCAGATGCTTCTCGCTGTTAACGACGAGGTGAGAGAAAGAACTGCCTACCTCTCACATAGGCCTTTACCTATGTCACGAGGCCATATTTTTTGGGTTTTCTATGTGTGTGTGTGTGTGTCTGTGTGTGGAGATCAACTACTACTTGTCCCCAAGAACATCACCTACGTGCGGAACGACAACCTGCACTGAACTGAAAGAACGTACCGCCTCCCTCTCCCGTACATACAACGTGGCCGCCGGACGTCAATTACGAGGTCACGCGATCAAACCCAGAATTGAATTCTCCGCCTCCCCACGATCACGATCGCGATCGCGACCGAGCAGAAATCGCTATCCCTCTACCCTTCGCGGTTGTCTCAAAGATACTGTAAATAAAACACAAGCCGGCACGGTGGAGAGAGAGAGAGAGAGAGAGAGAGAGAGAGAGAGAGAGAGAGAGAGAGAGAGAGAGAGAGAGAGAGAGAGAAGAAGAAGAAGAAGAACGAACGTGAAAGAGAACAATGTACACGTGCTATGAACACGTCCAGGAACCGCGGGAACGAAGTCGTGGATGGTTCCCGATCCAGAAATGGCTGCAGCGGCTATTGTGGCGAGAGACTGGAGGTTGGCGAACTCGAAAATGGCGCGCCAATTCGCGGCGGACAGAAAGAGAGCGAGAGACAGACAGAGAGAGAAAGAAAGAAAGCACAAAAGAGAGACAATGTACACCATACACGTTCAGCAGGTGCGGGAACGAACTCGTGCACGATTCCCGAACCAGAAATCGCTGTAGCGGCTGTCGTGCCGGGACACAAAAGGTCAAGGCACTCGAAACTGACGCGGCCAGTTTCTCCAGCCAGCGTATTATGGCCAACCATCAGGTAGGTCTCCACGTGGAATGTGGGAGATCTTCGCGGGTCTGCGTGGAAATGCTACGTGGAAAGCGATGTGGTAGGTGGGAAAAGACACACCCCCAAGAAAAGAAAAAAAGGACCCCTTAGAAACCCGGTAGCGTTTTCGGCGGGGAGCAGCACGTGATTTTGACCCGTAAACTATTTTGCCGAGCCTCTTTTTTGACCGGGACCGCGAGGCTGGTACGTAAGAAGGTGACCGTGATTTCGAGACGAACGTACTTCGCCGAGCATCTCTTTCAACCAGACCTGAGGGGCATCCCAAACCTCGAGGGTGGTACGGAGAGCACGATTTCTGCTTTGCCACTACCCTCGCTATTACAGTCTGACGCTCCTACTTTCCTCAAGCCTGCTGGGCTCCATGGAGGCAGAAAGAGGCACAGAGGGAAGGACATAAACAGCCCATCCCCAGCTATTTTAGGGCCTCGCCACACCACTCTCGAAATGTGCAAAATGAGAATGAAATTTCCCCTAGAACATGGCCAGATGCACCGGACAATTTTTTGTCTTTTTCACATTTCGAGAGTGGTGTGGCGACGCCCTTAGCCCCACGGGGCCTCAACAGGGCTCACCGGACGGAAAACACTGGCAGCACCCGAGCTGGATCTGTTTTTAGGCATGCAGCAGAAGATGAAATCATTATGAAAGAGAAGACCCCCCCTCCAAAGGGTCTCGCTGCACTACTCTACTTCGCGAAAATTCGGAGAGTTATGCATCGCTGCACTAACTCTACTTTAGAACCCCGAAAGAAATTCGGAGAGCTGTCAGAAACCACAAAAAGATTGTACTCTCCGACGCCGGAGAGTGCCCAGCCTGCAAAATCCGTTACGCGGATAGACCTTCGAAGGAACCACCGATTTGCTCCAAATCTGGAGAGTGAACCTTGAGTCTGGGCAGACAAACGGGGACTTTGGGCTGTCGTTTTGTCCCCTCCATAGTTGTAGAGTCTGCGTTTGTGGAGTTAGTGCAGCGATGACCCAAAATCCGGGACTCCGCGTACTCTCCGATTTCCCGGAGAGTGGAGAGTAGTGCAGCGAGACCCAAAAACTACCAAAAAAGAGACTGACCAAGTCCTGGCTGCTGTGAAACAGACGGGAGAAACCAAACCTCCTTCCGCAAAAGTAGCAAAAAAGAAGGGAGCAAGGATACAGCACGGATACAAGCAGGTAGGGTGCGATTAAGAGGCGTAGGGCAGAGTTTCCAATTGGTAAGGCAGAGTTTCCAATTGGTTGAATTTTTTGGCGGCACTTCAGCTTCCTAATCTGCAGTTCAGGGTCAGAAGTCACACCTGGGTTCTTGGATAGGGCCCAGAAGAGGGGCAAACTCCGATGGGACTGTCCCTGGATGAGTGCTCTTTGCTATAAGTGGATAGTAACCAAGAGCACTCATCACGCTTTGATTTTCCATTCCTCCGCTTGCCGCACACGCCGAGCTGAGTGGCATGTTCCTGCATGGGTGAGCGACAAGCTGTGAGTACCGGACTTGGAGATTTTTCCCGTGTTTCGCACGGCGAAACGATTTTTCTTCAGGCTATAAGGTAAGTACCTGAAGGCAGAGACCAGGGAATGAATTCAAAATCGGGAGAAGGGTTTCGAGAGGGGTGATAATGGTATTTAAAGAGTAATGAGTGTAGGAAGTGCCTCTTTCTTGCGTACCTCGAGAAAACACCGCTGGGGCGGCGCGACCTGACGAACACAGGGAACCCTGTCGTGCGCTTCGAAGTTGCCCGACCGTGGCGGCGCTTCGCCGATTGTAGACCTAGCGGTAGTAGGAATCCGTGCGTAGTAAAGCTAAGGAAGGAACCTAGGCGCTATTCGGGGAAGGTTCAGAATTTTAGGAATCGAGAGCGAGAGTTATCCCGGTAGGGGCAAGTACAATTGGCGGTAGACTGTTGGGCTTGGGGAAGTCTATACAAGGCAAAAAGGAAACGAGGAGGGTCTTTTCAAGCGGCCGGCTTCGGCCGGCCGCGAGGACGAAGATCTTTCACGACGGCGGTAGGGAGACAGGGAAGGCAGGTGGCGAACTCGCTGCTGAGTTTGGCGATAGTTACGAAGTCGGTAGGGCAGTTGGAGCCGTTTCGGGATACTGAACGCTATGACGGCGCCCCTCCGAAAGGCTATGGTGAAGGTTTAGCCCTCCGATCGGATTTCAGGGAAGTTCTAGGGTAAGTGGCACGATCTGTTTTGAGTACCTGGGGAAGCTTGTGCCAAGTAGATTCTAGAAGGATCACGACGAAAATAGGATCGCTAGGTAAGGATCGATGGAGATTGAGATTCTGAAATTGGGATTGAAGGTTTTAAGTAAGAGGGAGGGATTCTAATTAAGGAAGAAGAGGAGGATATGGGGAGGTAGCCCCGCAAGGAAATTCGAAGAAGGCGAGCGGTATTCAAAACATTAATTCGCGAGTCACTCGCGATTCAAGATCAGCCAGTGATAAATAGGTAGGAGGCAGAATTCGGTGGAAGGCGCAGATCGGGTTCGAATCGAAACACTATGAATTATTCGAGTGGGCGCGGATGAATCCTCGACGCGAACCAATCTGAGGTATTCTAGAGGGAAAAGGGGTAGCAAGGAATGATTGTACAACCTGGCGAAGGAGGCAAGGGACGATTCGGGCATTTGATCATGACTAAAGGAAAGCGATGACCGACCTCTTGCTAATAAACTTAAGGCGAGAAAACCAATGACAGGATTCCGATCTAGTCGTTTGTCTTGATCGGCGAAACGAGAGTGCGGATTGGGATCTAGTCGTTGTTTTTCCGATTCGGCGATCGGAAGTACTCAATTCGGATCGAAGATGACGAACGGTGATCCTCAGAATGAGTTTTGAATCTATTCGCCCGTAAAGTAAGGTTTTCAAATCCAGTAGCTCGGCGATCGTATGTACAGTTTTGGGATCGAAGATCGTAAGTACGGGTTCGGACCTAGTCGCTGGGTTTGATCGGGAGATAAAGTCTGGTCGATATTGTTTTCCCTTGGAGACCTGGAGGTAATTTAAACCTGGGAGCATTCAAGTTAGGATCGATAGTTAAGTTATCGATTCGTAATCTTCGAAGAAAAGGTTAGAAGGTAAGATCAACGATCCGGACGCCATGATGATGGGTCTGGCCTTTGCGGTAGGGGGAAGGGAAGGAGACTGGAGTTCTGTGGTTCCAAAATCGGTGGTCGACGTTTACGGGGACGAGGCAGGGGAGATGTTGGTGAGACAGTGGGAGAAGATGAGTATGGCGGCTGACGGGGTAACAACCAATATCGCCCTCGATTCGAACTTGTTCGACATTCAGGTTCTGGATCGCTCGAACGATACTCTTTTGCCACTTGGGATCCGCAATTGGAGCAAAGAGAAGTTAAGGGCAAGTTTTGGAAAGGAACATAGGCTCGAAATAAAAAAGGGTTTGGATGTGCTGTTGACATTTTTCAATCGAAATGCCTTTTGCACTATCAACAGACGATCAGGAAAAGGAAGAATCTTGGTAGTTGAAAGAGAGCTGATCGAAAGGATGTTGGATCATTGGATACTTGGCGAACTGCTCGCCGGTTTTTGCCTTGGCCAGAGTTTTCGAAAAGATGATCGATGAGTTGAGTGAAGAGGAATTGGAAACCGTGAAGATGGTCTGCGAAGCAGAAAGCCAGGCCTGGAAGGGCAGAGGAAGATGAGATTTTGTGGCGTTGGGGATTGTCATTGCCCTCGCAGGAGGACCAAAGAGAGAGCTGGTAGTAGCACTGCTAAGAGGAATGGAGGCATAATTATGGGGAAGATGCGGAGTCACCAGAACGAAGGTTCTCGTCACGAAGGCGTTAAGAGAAGCCAGTAAGGAGGAGAGAGACTTGCTGCTACTAGAGGACCTGTTCAAATTCGGAGAAGGAGCTTGGATAACTAGCCTTGGATGTAAAAGGCTAGGATTGGACTTGAACTCTATCTTCGCAGGTAGAGGAGGGGCAAACCTGCGCCTTGCGGTCTCCTGGCGTTCAGTCACTAGGCGCTGTGCGCAGGATGAGCGCCCGATTTTCATGCCTCTGTCGACCGCGAGCCCAGCATTTAGTATGGATCCAGTGCAAGACCTTTGCCAAGGAAAACGCCAGGTCGACTGCCAGAGCGACGCACCTCAACGCAGGCCCAGCCCTCCTAATTCGTCTCCCGAATCCGGAAGATACCTGGATATGTCTTGAGCCCGCTAAGAAAATTTGCCTCAAAGACCCGCTTTCTAATTTCGTGTGAATTCCCGAACTAGGAATTATTAAAGTTCAGTCCCATGCACCGGATTCGGATAAAGCCAGAAAATTTGGGAACCCTCGAAATTACTCAGATTTAATCCTCTCTCTCTCTTTTTTCCCTTCTCAAAGAGCAATATGTTGAATTCTCACGCACCATGGATGATTTTGTTATCAATTGGGAACTGAAC